CTCCCACCGAAGAATATGATATAGCAGAGGCCTAACCTTCCTTGAAATTCACTTATGCCCTGTCACTCAATGGTACTCGTGGCAGTGTTGCCAAGTGGTTAGCGTGTCAAGCTACTGTCCTGCACTGTCGCGGTTCGAATCCCGCTAAGGGTGTTGATGAGACCAGTTGATGCGAGGTCGAGACTGCAGTCCACTTTTGTGTGGATGAGAACAACTTTCGGGAAAGCAAGGCTATGTGAAATTGAATGGAAACGTCAGCTCAACTCATATGATTGTGGGAAAATTCTACTACCAGTCCTTCATCAGCTTACACGAAATAGGGTGAATACATCTCATTTCCTATTTCCATCTGTTATGCCATGTCCATAACTTCCTATGTTCTAATCTCTTGTGTCAACCCACATACTTTGTGGTTCAACATTGAACCTAATCAAAGCAAGCAGTACCATAAGATTTGTGGGTTGGCACAGAAGAGACTAAGACATGGCAAGTCATAGACTTGGTATTAGAAATCGAGACAGGATAGACGCGGTGACGATTGGAGCTAGTTGGCTGACAAAAGGTTTTACAAGAGACGTGGTCCATCCAGCCAAGGCTCTAGAAAGAGACTTTCTCTGAGGCTTTAGACTCGAATTAGTCAACCAGACGCAGGAGAGCGTGAATAACGCCTCGAGTAGGACAGATGGAGGGTCAGGAGTCGAGTGAAATATGTGAACGAGGGAGAGAGCAGACAGATCTTACGGTGCAAGAGAGAGACTGTGATAAGATCTAGGACAGGAGTGCGTAACAACATTCCCAACACAAGGATGAAGGGGGTGAAGAGGGAGAGAAGTACAGGGTGGAGTGTGAAGGGTTTTCATGAAGGCTGCTCAAAAGGAGGATATAAGCCAGGGCAGGAGAGATATCATAACTGTTTAGTACAAGTTTGATCAAAGGATGTGTTTCACTTGTCTCTTTGACGAGCTGTACTATGGCCACTCGATTTGGATTAGAGGACATCACGAATTAGGCAAACGTATCTTTGCTAATACAATCGACTGCATTACTTATTTCTCGTATATAAGTAGTCTCGATACGACCAGTAAATTGCTAATGTGATATGATTCGCGCTATTTCGTTTCAGCCGCCGAAAGACCGCTAGTCAAATGGTCGCCACAATCTCACCAGCCAGAAGCATGCTTCCATTTTAATTGGCCAATCTGCTGCAGCTCAGACCTCTCCTCGTCGGCACTCTCGGTGGGACTCGAACTCCTCAGCCAAATTCAATGTAAACCTGACGCCTACCAATCAGATTGCAGGAAAGTTCTACTGCCAAACGTCCATCGCCCTTTCCAACTCTGCTGAATGATGATTTCATTTAGTCTCGAAAACCCACTTACAAACTCAAAACGTTGTCGGGCAAAATGAGAAGTGATAACGCACCTGATCGACGGCAAAATTGGTCAATTCATCGACTTTACTCGTCTCTGACGCGCTCTACTTTGGTACTGAGAATGACAAGATTAGCTGTTGAGGCCAACTGCGCTGCCGACGACACGTCTGGCAATGTCGAGCAGAGGACTTTGGACAGGGTGCATCCAACTAGGTCGGCCTGGCAACAGCAACCAATTAGAAAACGATGCCAGCTCACTTTTGTGCATAAAAAGGAGACAGCCACCATGACAGAGGCCAAGACGTCTTGGCCTTCACGTCAAAACGTGCTGTCTGGCTGGATTTTCGCATCGACATGGTGGAGCGCAGTTACCGACGTCTAGTAACTGGGCTTCTTCACAAACCAATTGATAGAGGCCATTTTGTTGCTTGTTCATGTGCTCACAATTTGATGGAACTGCTCGTGAAAAACTGAATTCCAAACGGACATTTCCACTTTGAAGAAAGACTGAACTTGACAAAAAATCAAAACCGAAACCAAAAGGCAGCCCCACAACAGTTAGACCAGATTCCGCGTGTTTTCACGACTCCAGTGCCTTCAAGGACCTGCGCGATTCCTCCACAACCGGTTGCTGCCCCTTTCCGCTGCTATGCACAGGAAAATAAAGGGCCGAAAGCCAATTGTCATTCGATAGCACCATTTCTCTCGGCGTTGAACCGAACGAAAATGGTCTATTTCGTCTTGTTCCAGCGGAATGCGGCATTGCAACTGAGGCGTGTACCTGTGCTCGTGTGTACGTTGGCCAACTCAATCCGGCAAGCAATTTATCGCAATTACTTTTCTAATGAGTAGACTATGCTTCAGTCGGTTGCCATGGCTGAGGCTATGGAAACGGATAAATAGACGCAATGCACTGGATGCAAGCTGGACGAGTCAGCTCGTGGCACCGAC